AAAAGTCAACTATGGTAATCGCAAAACAATTTCCGATGCACGTGATCAACTTTGAGTGACAAGCGATGGCGACAGCGCTGCCAGATTGTGATGGATTTATGAGATGAATCTTAATTTAAAAGTGAGAAACAATATATTTATTATATCATTTTTTAAAGATTTTTACGCGTTTTATTTTTAATTTAATAACTAATATTTTAGTAATTAACTGATTTATTTACAAAAACTAGTCCATTATGAATATTATTCTAGCGTTATTATGGGTTAATTATTTATTTAAGGATCTTTATTGTATTATTATCTTTATTATATACAGGTTGTTAATTTGTTTATTACTCGCGGCAAGAGCTTTATGGTTGAAATATGGCAACCTCGGCCCGCTCGTCGAGAGTCGACGCGACGGGACGAGTCGGCAGCTTAGCTTAGTACTCATTTGGAATTGGATGCAGTGTTGCCATTCTGTTCCCCGTCCAGTTAACAATCTGTATATATTTATCATCTTACAACGTCATAAGTAGTAATATCAAGTAAGAGGGTGCTATTAATGCACAAACTAATAATCACAGAATTTAATAAAAACTAACGTAGAAATAACTTTGAAAGTTATGTAATGTGCTTATCAATCAAACTTACTTCTCTGACTGCAGTCAAGGGTAATAAAAAGTGTTATGTGTGGTCGGTGCTCCTTTATGGTATGGAAGGTTGGACATTGAAAGTAGCTACCATCAACAAATTGGAGGCTTTTGAGATGTGGCTATATCGCAGAATTCTGAAGATACCTTGGACAGCTAGATTGACAAATGAGGAAGTTCTCAGACGACTCAATAATATAAAAAAATAATGACTGACATTAGAATAATTGTCAAATAATAAAGGACAACCTTGCTGAAAACGGCGCAATGTGACCAACATAGCTTTAATAAAATTCGGTTTAAACTAATTTTTGCAGCTTTAATCTAAATAAAATATCTGTTGCAATCATTTGCTCTATAAAGTCAAATGAAGAGCTGCTCGGTATGTTAAATTATACAACAAATTTAAACATTTTTGCCAAAATTTAATTTAGTCAGGTTTATAGACTTTAGTGTCAATGTCGATATGATTGATGACGTGCATCGGAAAATGTTTTGCGATTACAATACATATATTTTCATGGTTTTTTTATCTTCTCTAAAACGGTATGGAAATTCGGAAAAGTATAAACGGGATTAACCCTTTTAGTACAAGCAAAAATATTTATGAAGAATACATTTTTCTCAAAATGTCAATAATAAAAAGTGTTTTTGCTCTTGTAAAGACAATCCGGGGACATACTGTATATATTTTTGTCTCACCTTGTATATACCAAATATTTTATTTCTTATTTTAATATGGTTTCTTTTAACTGACTAGATTATTCCCTTATCAATTTATACAGGATACCGGTATAAGTAATTAAGAAATAAGTTTGAATGGTCGTTTATGGCTTCTTGAAACAAATAGTTTAAAGAGAAATTCAGCGAAATAACTGTTAACATCCTACTCTATAATATCGTCATTTTCAAACTGACCTACAAGCGGTTAGAACTCGTATTAGTTACAGACCGAATAACATCAACCCAACAGTAAACGTACTGTGTCGAGGTAAATAAACTACGATCACTTCCTTAACAGAAAACAATCATTATCTATGTCTGGCTTTTAACATAGATATTACATACAACGCACCTTATACAAAAAGGAATGATTAGAGCAAAGTATTTCGCTTCAGTTCAGCAATCTTATGGGAAAAGCGTTATGTATACTGAAAATGTTAAACTAAAATAGCTACTATTTTTTGGAAGTTTACAATAGGAAGTGGATCTATAAAAATACTAGGAAATAAATATGTCTAGCAGCGTTTTCAGACGGAGCGGAGCGTCCGCGACGGACCGTCCGCTACTTCGAGCAAGTACCATGAGTTTATATGAACGATTTTACATGGGTCGCGTATGCTCCGTCCGGATGAGCTATATTGAAAAAACGGTACGGTCCGCTCCATCTGAAAGCGCTGTTATTACCTGTAGGAAAAAAGGGCTATAATAGTAACAGCATTTTTGATAACATCGGTGTTTTTTTAGTAACAGACTAAAGGCGGATTTTCAGTGGTCCGGTATCCGACGATACGATGATTAATTTTACTGGTTGAATTTAAAGACTTGAATTGGTTACAAAATTCCCTAATTTTTAAAAATTAATTCTGTTTTCGTGCCTCCCTTTATCGGATAACTAGCGTGTACCAGCGACTTCGTTCGCGTCGAATTAATCATTTTTTTTTTCAAGCAAGAATTTCCATTAACATACAAACTGGATAAAATTTTCTCACATTTATGTCAGCATGAGAAAAACAATATGGCGATATTATTATATAACTTGGTAATATTTGAGGGGTAGTTTCATCTCGTTGGAATTTGACTTTCGAAAAATCCGTTTGCCAAAAAATAAGCTTTTACGTCAAGCAGTTTAAGCAGAATCGTGGTTAAGAAATTACCCCACTTTTTGGAACACCCTGTATGATTTTTTAAAAAATTTCAAAATATGTAAAAAAAAACAAATAAATTATGCTTGTCCAAGCGTTTTCCCGAAAGACTAACCGTTTTTTAAATAACAAATATTGTAATATTTGAGGGGCGTTTTCACCCTCTTGGAATTTGAGATTCGAGAAACCCCTCCTTATCGAACCTCGACACCCCACAGTCAATCCGTTTGCCAAAAATCAGCTTTAAACGTCAAGCAGTTTAAGCAGAATTGTGATTACTCAATGGTCATATTTTATGAAACACCCTGTATAAATTTATAAAAAATCTTAAAACATGTAAAACAACAAAATAAAATATACGTGTTTAAGCGTTTTTTCGGAAACTTGACCGTTTTTTAAATAAAAAATATTGTAATTTTTGAGGGGTGGTTTCACCCTCTTGGAACTGGAATTTCGAAAAATCCCTTCTTATCGAACCTCTACACCCTAGAATCAACCTGTATGCCAAAATTGAGCTTCTTACGTTGAGTGGTTTGAGCAGGATCGTGATTAATCAGTATGTCAGTCACTCAAGGATTTTATATATTAGTATAGATACGACTCGCTTGTGATTGATCAAAAATATAATATAATAATAATATAATAATTCTAATTGTAATTTTTTGTTTCCATTTTTATATCAGTTTCAGTGAATTTTACTTATCGGTTATTACCTACTTTACTTACTAACGAGCTTACTAATTATACAGTGTGGTCCAAACTGTATTCCGGAAACGTCTATTCTGTAGATAAAAATGAGTAAAAAAGTTCATATAAATGTATGTTCTAAAATGCTTAGTTTCGAAGATACAGGGTGTAAAAATTTCATTTTAAAGTAACGTCAATATTTAGATGAAAATTGGTGTTTGGGAGTTTTTTGATATGAAAAATTTGATTTTTATGTCAATATGACTCCTATTTTCAGGGGGCGTCACCTACATGTATTTTAACTGTTTTGAAGAGTAATAACTTTTTTTCCTTACCTGTATAAAACCATCGAGTGAAAAAATATACATTTCCTTGATTTTTTACGTAAAAAATGTTGCTTGGTAAAAATCGCTACGAGCCACCGTTCTCAAGATATTTAGAATGGAAATAGTAAATGCATGTCATTATTGAAAAAAAAATAAACATGCCGAGTAGATAGTTATTTGACCGAAATGATAAATTTGGGAACTTTTTATTTTTTTTTTAAATTAATCATAAATTTTTCTTCGAAAAAATGATGATAAAACAGTTTCTGTTCAAATTAGTGATGACGATACCCGAAATTATTCCTACCCGGATACCCGAAACTATTACCCGGGTATCACCCGTTACCCGAAAATGACCCGTCACCCGAAAATGGCCCGGTACCAGAGAATGACCCGATACCCGAGAATGACTCCGATACCCGAAAATTACCCGTTTAAAAAATATTATAACTATTAAAATAGGGTCGTAATCGTTTAATAAAATACAAAAGTACAACTACATACTATTACACAAACTACATAAAAAAATAATATGTCGTTACTCGTTAATACTGTTTTTGTTTTTTAGTGTTGTAGTTAATACTCAACCAAACATTATTCTAAACATAACAACATAATAATATTATATTATTTTTATATACCTAAAAGGTTAGGTAACATAACAATCATAATAACGACTAACACAACAGGATTTTTAGAAACAGAAACCAAAAAGTGTAAAAAGTAAAAAGGACTAAGAATAATAAGGAATAAACAAGACATACGTATCGTGTTCAGTGCTGCAGAAAATACTTGGTTCTGTTGGCGTTTACAAATAGCAAGTTACTGTTTGTGGACGGTTTCAGTCTATTGCGAGATTTTGTTGTGTCGTCCTGCAGCCGAAAAATGTCTTTCTCTAGCAACTGAGGTGGCTGGTATACATAAATAATATTTTGCCACTTTGGCTAAATTTGGGTAGGCGTTTTCGTGTTTTTTCAACCAAACACATACATTTTCTGTTCTTCCAATTGCCTCTGTCTCAAGAAACGATTGAAATTCAGTGATCTTAGTATTACTCTATTCGTTCAAAAGATCGTTATCTCCGAATAATGGACTATCTGAATTTTTGCATTCATCACTTTCACTGCCACTGCTATTTGGAACCTTGTGTCCTTGAATTGAGTCTGTCTCCATCAATACAGTTGCATCCCTGACTTGCACTTCAAACACTTCTTTTTCTATTTCATTGTAAACCTGCTTCCTTTCATGGGGTTCAAAGATTAACCACTTTTTAAACCTCGGGTCAACAGCCATTGCTTTTACATAAACAGAGCTTTTGAGATCGAGTTTATCAAAAAAGCGGGTGTTTATATTTTTAACTAGTTCTTCTTTTAGAAATTTTACTCCATGTAATTCGTCATCGTCTTTACTTGGCTGGAGTTTGCTTTTTAATTTATGTAACACATAAAGTACCTCAGTAATTGTGCAATACTTTTCTCCACAGAAAACTTTGTTGGCAATTTTCAACAAATTTAGGATAGGTAAGATGTCGCCAATTAACTTCCACTGTTCATCCTTCAGTTCTAAATGTTTTGCGTCAGTTCTTTTTGTTACCTTTGAGTCACTCAAAACAGCACACACACACCATCGCAAAGTATTCAATCGATCTAGCATACTGAAAGCTGAATCCCACCTGGTCTTGCAGTACTGTATTAATTTCAGTCCATGCTTATATGTTTTCGAAGAGGGTGTTTGCGGTTGAGATGTTCCTTCTTCACCTGATTCGATTTGTTGAATTTCTTCGTGGTCATCTTCATCAACTAGAAAAATCAATTTAGGTAAATATGGATGGGTGGATGGATATTTTTTTGTAAAACCTACCAATTGTGTTTTTTGTTGTGCTTTCAAGCATTGTTTCCTGTCGTTTCAATAGCTCATTTGTTGCCAAAACACTGTGATTGAAATGTCCCACTAATCTGCTAGTGCATGTATACACTTGGCAACAGGATTTGTAGAATCTGCAGTATTCAATCCGGTAGCTGCGTTAACACACAGTTGGAGGGTATGTGCAGCGCAGGGTACATCTACCCACTGGTCATTTCTCAAGGAGGCAACATGACGAATATTAGAGCCGTTATCGTGAACAATAGCCACAATTTTTTCGTAAATATGCCAGTTTAAAATGGAACTTTTAATTTCAGATGCCAAATAGTCACCGGTATGCCTCTCCTCCAAGAAAATTGTATCTAAAACTGGGGATCTAATTGCCCATTGAGTAGTTAAGTACGATGCAGTTAGCGCTAAATATGATGCATTGCTGTTCGATGTCCAAGCATCAGTGGTTAATGAAACATGTGTAGCTTCTTTCAGTTCGGCTATGACCATATCTTTAATTTCCTTTTCATCGCGTTTCAAATTTTGGACTATAGTTTCGTAACAAGGCACTCTATAATCTGGCTCTAGGTAATTCATAAGTTTCTTAAAAGATGCACTCTCCGTAAAGTGTAGGGGTAACGCATTTTCCGATACTACATTAGTAATTAAATTGGTTATCTTGACTTGGCGAGATTGGGGAAATATGGTTCTCCTTTTAAAACAGTCTGTTATGCGAGCTTGGGAATTGGAACTCGTAGATGCAGCTTCAAGATCTTTATTTTGTGTTTGTTTTTGTTCTTTACCTGTGTTGCCACTTTCACGCTTATGAACACCTATTAAATGTTTGTTCATTGAACTTGTTGAACGACCATACACAATTTTAGCATCACACAAATTACAAATCACATGAGACTTCTTTGGAGAGAAGTGGAAACTTTCCCACACTGCCGAACGCTTACGTTTTTCGGACATTTTGCAACTTGCAAATCATACGCTGCCGATATCGTTCCAAATTTAACGGCCTATCGACTAGTATCGACCACACCACATAATATCCAGCCAGCAGACAAACTACGACTACGGAACTACAAACGAAACAAAACGTATAGCACGGCGGCAGGCGACAGGGCACGAAAAAATCCGATGCCAATCGATGTTAGCAAATATCGGGTTTTCTAATTTTCGGGTAACGGGTATTATTTCGGGTAGGATCGGATAACATTCGGGTATCGGGTAACATTCGGGTATCGGGTACTAAACAAAGTTACCCGGAACCGGAATCATTTCGGGTAACCCGGGTACCCGGGTACCCGTTGTTATCACTAGTTCAAATTAATGATTCCAGTCTAATAACTATTTAGTAAACATGTTTAATTTATGTCATTGACGACAGGTATTGATAATTTGGAATCAAAATATCTTGAGAACCATTACTCGTAGCGATTTTTACAAAGAGACTTTTTCTACGTAAAAAACTTTGTAAATGTATGTTTTTACTCAGTAGTTTTATACAGGTACGGACGAAAAGTTATTACTCTTTAAACTAGTTAAAAATATGTAGGTGGCGCCCTCTACAAGTGGGAAAAATATTGACATCAAAATCAAATTTCTTTTGTCAAAAAACTCCAAGACCGCAATTTTCATTTAGATATTGACATTACTTCAGAACTTATTTGAAAAAAAATTAAATAAAAATGAACGTTCTACTCCCTGTATCTCCGAAAATAAGCATTTTAGGACATACATTTATGCGAACTTTTTTATTTATTTTTATCTGCAGAATATGCTGCCGAAGTTTCCGGAATACACTTCCGACCACCCTGTATACAGGATGTTCCAGATATAAGTGCAAGTATTTTAAGGGGTGGTAGATCTGGTCAAAAGAAACAAATAATTTTCTCTTTGCCATTTTTAAAATAAATCGATAATAACCGAGTAATTTAACTTTAAATTTTTTTTAATGACAACATTTTGAGGGCCGCTGGCAGCCATCCATAATCAGTCCCAATACCAAGCAATTACCCGGATTTTAGCTTGTTCGACACCCAGTGTTGACAAATCGATTGGAAATATTAAAAAGCGACTTGAAAAATACAGATTAAAAGTAAAAAACTTTCCTAACATTAGAAAACCGGACTCACTTTTCACTTTACTTAAAACCGCAACTCTACAGTTAACAGCACTTCATTTCACTTCGTTTCTTGGCAATGCTACATTTAAATATCCACGTGTCTTTGGCACAAAATACATTCATATGCCATCTGAATTATTTGGGATAATTTTTTGAGAATTTGAACTCCTCTGTTTTCTATCTCACACTCTTTTTGTGAATATACACCAAAATAATTGATATTTTTATTTGAATAATAAAAGTATTTTTACAAGCTTACCTTACATTGGCCTATTTTTTCAGTTTTGTCAGAGGTTTACTGTTCTGAGTAAAATCTAAAATTGGTCAAATTGGAAAACCTAAAATTCATCAGCTAAACAGATCAGCTGGTCTGTTTAAATGTAACGTAGTGGTCAAACGTTAACTATTTACATGTCTAATACAGGGCGCTGATTCAAAAAAATCTAAGACAGGTGAACAAATATTTGATTTACTCAGTATATATGTTCAGTATCATTGGACTTGTCCATACGCTGCCGCGCTTGTAGAAAGTTTTTAATGGAGAATTGTTTGATGTTTAAAAAACTGATGTGTATAATTGTTCATTATTTAGAGTTTCATTATTTCAGTTTCTAAACTGTAAAAAAATATATTTAAAGTAGTAGACGTTGCACTATGCTTAATACACTCAGATGCAAAAAAACGCACCGCAGAAAATTTTCTATTTTCACGATTTTTTTAGCAAACTGTATATAATTATATCAACTTTAATTTGTATGCTAAGTTTTTATAAACTTCAGTATTTTCAATATTATACAGGGTTAATCGAGGGGTTGTTTTTTTTATCCTAACTTTCAAACACCCTGTGCAATAATTTCGTATGTAAAATATAATTTTACGGTCAGAACCATGAGTCCTGAGCATTTTGTTTTTTGATTCATGTCAATACATGCTTTGATTAATTTCTAAGAACGAAATGAAATGACCACGATCAATTTGCAATTTTTTTCAATTATCATTACTTTTTGATGTCATTTTTTAATATGACGAGATGGTTTTCGTGATTAATGTCGTAACGTCATATTACGCTGCAATGGAAAATTAAAAAAAAACATTAAAGACTAACGATACAGTCCTGGTTTTTATAAACATTAATAACGATAACTATAGAACTAACAATATTAAAGAAAACATCTGTAATACTCAAGTATACAAACAGAAAAAAAAACTGTAAAATATGCCCTAATACTTTGTGATGCTTCCCTTGGCTGTTATAATTGCCTGTATACGTCCGTTCATACTGTCATTGAGGCTGCATATATCATATTGCATTATGCTTTCCCATTCTTTAATAACCAAGCGAAGTTCATTTAATGAAGCTGGTACCGCTTCGCGACCTCTAACCCTCCTACTAAACATTTCCCAAACGTCGAACATGATGGGCAGTTCATGGTAGTATATAGTTCACAATAATCACCAAAGCCGGCTTATCATATTGAAAAATAACTTCAAAAAGAAATGATAACCATCACACCTCCGTATACAAGCCCACGACATTATCTGTAATACAGTTATAGAAGATGAAATACAATATTTTTATCGAGAATATGTTTTTCCACATCAGATTTTATTTAGATAATCTAATAAATTTATTTTGACGAGAAATAAATTTGAATTTCTGAAAGAAATTTGTTTTCGGAGGGTTCACCGAAGCTGCTTTGATCCTTTACTTATTTTGAAGGTCCGCAGGTCAAAAAAATAATTTTTTCAACTATTTTAAACGTTCCAAATAATATAACAAGATTTAAGTCATACCTTGTGTAATTATATATCGAGAAACTATGGTTATGGCTCGTTGAATTTGACACTTTATGTCAGTTTAATCATATATTTTTGTACTTTTATGCTTAGGCGTAAAAGTACTTTACTTTTATGCCTAGGCATTAAAACTACTTTTTTAATAATATATTTTCGTACTTTTATGCTTAGGTGTAAAAGTGCTTTACTTTTATGTCTAGGCGTTAAAACTGCTTTTTTATATTGTCAATCACGTCGCAAAAATTAATAATTTTGTGACGTTTGAAAAAAATATTGTATCTTTTTGATATTGGGGTAGTTGTAATAAATAACTAAGCCTTCCTCTTTGGAGGAAGGTTTTCGTTAGTATCATTTTTTGTAAATCCCTCGACTCGCGTTAGTTAATGAAATATTTTCCCATTCAGTCTCTCAATGAAAAATCAGAAAAAAAATCTATTATGACTCACTTCATATTTCATATTTCAGTTTTTTACACCGCCATTTCGGAAGAAAAAATCTACTTGAGATACACTGTTGAAAGATATGATTTGAAGTTTTCTGTAAACATACAAAATCTATACAAAATGCCACTTATAATTTTTAGCTTAGGCTCACATCCGGTTAAGCTAGAAGTGATATTCAATTGATTTTTTATGGTAAATGTGAGTTTTGATCAACTATATTTTGACTTCAGGGTTCAAATTTATTCGGTAAAAAGGAACGAAACAGCAATATGTGCAATAATTTCGTTGCTACCCGGTATACATGCACTCTGAAATCACAGCTTCCGAAATTACACACACCGAGTGCATTTAGCGGATATAGAAAGAATATTTTTATGTTGATGTATTTAATTTTATCGATATAAAAATGTAATCCTTTACTATTTACAATTTGTTTTCTTCTTTTAATCAATTTTTGATAAAATAAATAAATCATTTGTTGACTCACGAGTATTGCAATTATTTATTTTTAACGACATATAAATAAGTACCAACATTATATCTGCGTTTCAAATAAGCTTATTTAAAACAAAATATGTGTAATAGGTATCGATACTGGCTTAATGTCGAAATTGTTTAAATTGCATGTTTGTATTATACAGGGTGGCGCACCTCATTCGCTTCGGTTAATTATACGAAAACGGAAAGATGTAGAAACAAAATATTTTATGAGTATATGTGGGGTGGCAATGTGCACAATTTAAAATTATTTTGAAATCTTCAGGGTGTTTCAGAACTAAGATACATACCAAAGTTATATTTTTTCTTATGGAACACTCTGTATTTTATTTCATTTTTGGATTCTTAGACCCAAAAAGGTATTTATTATAAGGGTTAAATATGTTTAAATTTTTTGGTTTTTGAGATATTTAAAGATATTTAAAAATGCAGGCTACAATAGAATAGATTATTAACACCCACTGTATATTGCTTTTCAGAATTAATTCTTGTACTGAACTTTAAGCCAGAGAAATAAACTTTACTGAAAAATTTGATTGCTTTGTTTAATGTATACAGGGGTATCAATTGCTGGTCTATTTTAAATATTTATTTTACATAAAAACTTCGTTATTTCAAATGCAACACTATGTATTTTTTTAAATAAGTCGAAGCAGATTGAAATGCCCTTTCAAACTATATTAGGGTTTCCTATACCTATCTAACTCAGATTTTGAATAAAGAGCCATTTTTCAATAAAATGGCAACCAAGATGGCTGATGTCAAGTTTCTAGTGACAGTTAGTAGCTATTTTGAAAATCAAAATTAGTTTATGGACTTTATTTAAATTTATAGCAGTATATTTTTATTTAATTTGCATACAGTAGTTTTTTAAATAATATTTATTTATTATTCTATCACGAAGAAGTAGTTCTTTCATTTATTTTACGTTCACTTGTAGATATACAGTACATCTGCTGGATCTGTGTCTATGAAAGCAATGCGGACAAAAAACATTTAAATAAACAGCAATATATTTTATATGTCGACTTGACGAGTACGTCACCGCAAATCGCTCCGCCCACTCATTTTATTGGCTACTTGCAAATTTGTCGATTTTTTATTGATGGGACGCGTAATCTAATTTTTTACGAAAAACATCTAGAGAATATCGTTTCCCCTCTCA